CTCTTGGCCTCTTGTTTTGTTTATTTCATCTTTATTATTTCTCATGAAAATCCCACAAAGTTTGCTTAACTTCTCAAAAATGGTTTATCAGAGCTAGTTACCTCCTTGTGTTCGGCTCCCATCATTAGTTACCCCCTGGTGGAGAATAATGGGGGCCCAAAACTCCACTAGGGGGAAACTAATAATGGGGGCCCAAAACTCCACCAGGGGGTAACTAATAATGGGGGCCCACAACTACACCAGGGGGGTAACTAATAATGGGGGCCCAAAACTCCACCAGGGGGTAACTAATAATGGAGGCCCAAAACTCCACCAGGGGGTAACTAATAATGGGGACCAAAACTCCACCAGGGAGTAACTAATAATGGGGGCCCAAAACTCCACAAGGGGGTAACTAATATTGGGAACCCAAAACTCCACAAGGGGTAACTAATAATGGGGACCCAAAACTCCACAAGGGGGTAACTAATAATGGGGGCCAAAAACTCCACAAGGGGGTAACTAATAATGGGGGCCCAAAACTCCACAAGGGGGTAGCTAATAATGGGGGCCAAAAACTCCTCTGAGATAAAATAGGAAATTAAAAGATTTTTTAAAAAGATTTTTGGATACCCTGTATCAGATTATAAAGATGTTATGCTCAACAATTCTGCTATTTCACCACATATTTTGATGAAGATTTATTTTTTATTTTTTTCAATTTATTTCCTTTTTTTGACAATCACTACACGTAGTGTCTATATTACATGAAGCTTAAGTGAATAAAAATGAAAAGTAAAATAATAAAAATATTAATATCTTTTGTAAGTGTGTAACTTCATTGACACACTTCATTGATACCACTGTACATATTGTACAAGCTGTAAATATACCAACAGCTGGGCTGAAATAACACATCTGTTATTTACAATGTCTGTCTGCAGTTGGTACACAGCAATATTTCTGCTCTTTAGACGTGTCTGCTGTTCAGGACTGAAACGTTTCCCCACCCAGATTTACAAACCTGTTTAATAGCATTACATTGTTACCTGGCACACAACACTAAGATTAAGCCCCTTCTACACCTAACTTTTACCAGATTTTATTGGTATTCAGGTAAAAAATCAATGTACTTAAGTCACAAATGACATGTCAGATCATACATGTAGAAGCTTTCATAAGTAAACTTACATATATGTAAATACCATCCAGGTAAATAAAGTCCAGGTAAAAACGTGCTGTGTTAGCTTCATATATAAAACACTCCTCAAATTCTTCTGATAGCTTTTTGGAGAATATTTTTGAATTTATAAAGCTGTTTTTAATCTGCTTTCAGTATCGTAAGGTAAAATTCTACATCTATATATAGACATGTTTTCAGTTTCAACATTAATAAAGATACTTACAACGGTTTAGAATATTTACCTAGTCTAATTTTAAGGATCTCTGTCCCACTAAGTCTAATTTTAAGGATCCCTGTTACACTCAGTCTAATTTGAAGGATCCCTGTTACACTCAGTCTAATTTTAAGGATCCCTGTCCCACTAAGTCTTATTTTAAGGATCCATGTCCCACTAAGTCTAATTTGAAGGATCCCTGTCCCACTCAGTCTAATTTGAAGGATCCCTGTCCCACTAAGTCTAATTTGAAGGATCCCTGTTACACTCAGTCTAATTTCAAGGATCCTTTTTCCATTTAGTCTAATTTTAAGGATCCCTGTCCCATTTTGTCTAATTTTTAGGATCCCTGTCCCACTCAGTCTAATTTTAAGGATCCCTGTTCCACTCAGTCTAATTTGAAGGATCCCTGTTCCACAAAGCCTAATTTTAAGGACCTGTCCCACTTAGTCTAATTTTAAAGATCCTTGTTCCACTTAGTCTAATTTTTAGGATCCCTGTCCCATTTAGTCTAATTTTAAGGATCCCTGTCCCACTCAGTCTACTTTTTAGGATCCCTGTTCCACTTTGTCTAATTTGAAGGATCCCTGTTACACTCAGTCTAATTTTTAGGATCCCTGTCCCACTTAGTCTAATTTTAAGGATCCCTGTCCCACTAAGTCTTATTTGAAGGATCCCTGTCCCACTAAGTCTAATTTGAAGGATCCCTGTTACACTCAGTCTAATTTCAAGGATCCCTGTCCCATTTAGTCTAATTTTAAGGATCCCTGTCCCATTTTGTCTAATTTTTAGGATCCCTGTCCCACTCAGTCTAATTTTAAGGATCCCTGTTCCACTCAGTCTAATTTTAAGGATCCCTGTTCCACTAAGCCTAATTTTAAGGACCTGTCCCACTTAGTCTAATTTTAAAGATCCTTGTTCCACTTAGTCTATTTTTTAGGATCCCTGTCCCACTTAGTCTAATTTTAAGGATCCCTGTCCCACTCAGTCTACTTTTTAGGGTCCCTGTTCCACTTTGTCTAATTTTAAGGATCCCTGTTACACTCAGTCTAATTTTTAGGATCCCTGTCCCACTTAGTCTAATTTTAAGGATCCCTGTCCCACTAAGTCTTATTTGAAGGATCCCTGTTACACTCAGTCTAATTTCAAGGATCCCTTTTCCATTTAGTCTAATTTCAAGGATCCCTGTCCCATTTTGTCTAATTTTTAGGATCCTTGTCCCACTCAGTCTAATTTTAAGGATCCCTGTTCCACTCAGTCTAATTTTAAGGATCCCTGTTCCACTCAGTCTAATTTTAAGGATCCCTGTTCCCCTAAGCCTAATTTTAAGGACCTGTCCCACTTAGTCTAATTTTAAAGATCCTTGTTCCACTTAGTCTAATTTTTAGGATCCCTGTCCCACTTAGTCTAATTTTAAGGATCCCTGTCCCACTCAGTCTACTTTTTAGGATCCCTGTTCCACTTTGTCTAATTTGAAGGATCCCTGTTACAATCAGTCTAATTTTTAGGATCCCTGTCCCACTTAGTCTAATTTTAAGGATCCCTGTCCCACTCAGTCTAATTTTTAGGATCCCTGTTCCACTTTGTCTAATTTGAAGGATCCCTGTTACAATCAGTCTAATTTTTAGGATCCCTGTCCCACTTAGTCTAATTTTAAGGATCCCTGTCCCACTCAGTCTAATTTTAAGGATCCCTGTTCCACTTAGTCTAATTTTAAGGATCCTTGTTACATTCAGTCTAATTTTTAGGATCCCTGTCCCACTTAGTCTAATTTTAAGGATCCCTGTCCCACTAAGTCTAATTTTAAGGATCCCTGTTCCACTTAGTCTAATTTTTAGGATCCCTGTCCCACTTAGTCTAATTTTAAGGATCCCTGTCCCACTAAGTCTTATTTTAAGGATCCCTGTCCCACTAAGTCTAATTTGAAGGATCCCTGTCCCACTAAGTCTAATTTGAAGGATCCCTGTTACCCTCAGTCTAATTTCAAGGATCCCTTTTCCATTTAGTCTAATTTTAAGGATCCCTGTCCAATTTTGTCTAATTTTTAAGATCCCTGTCCCACTCAGTCTAATTTTAAGGATCCCTGTTCCAATAAACCTAATTTTAAGGACCTGTCCCACTTAGTCTAATTTTAAAGATCCTTGTTCCACTTAGTCTAATTTTGAGGATCCCTGTCCCACTTAGTCTAATTTTAAGGATCCCTGTCCCACTAAGTCTAATTTTAAGGATCCCTGTCCCACTCATTGAATTGGAAGAGTTCAAATGTGTCTTTTGTCTAATTTCAAGGATCCCCGTCCAACTAAGTTTAATTTTAAGGATCCCTGTTCCACTTAGTCTTATAAGGATCCCTGTCCCACTAAGTCTAATTTTTAGGATCCCTGTTCCACTTAGTCTTATTTTAAGGATCCCTGTCCCACTTAGTCTAATTTTAGAGTTGTCTTTAACGCATTCACCCCTGAAATTTCATAATGAACTATTCCAACTTTTGAATTGGAAGAGTTCAAATGTGTCTTCAGGGGTGAATGGTTTAACATGTGTCCTTCATATAACCTTAAAATCTCTAGTGTTTGATCAAAAGTCTAAGGCGATTTTTCCCCTGAACACACTTTTAAACTCTTCCAATACAAAGGCTGGAATAACTCATTATGAGATTTCAGGGGTGAATGAAATATTACACTGAGTCACCTGTTCAGCTTTCTCCATCTATAAGTGCAGTGTCTATTGTTGTGGCCTTTCTATATAGTTGTTGGTACGATTCTGTATCACTATTTGATTGATCTTCCTCTATTGGTAAGTGCGGGAAACTAAATACAGTATTTAAGTGTGGCCTCCCTTGATTGGTCTGTTTCTGTGATGCCAATTTTAACATTGTGGTCTTCATTCCAGAAACACAGATTGTTATTGATGTGGCCTTTATCTAGTGGTTTATTCCAGAAACACAGATTGTTATTGATGTGGCCTTTCTCTAGTGGTTTAAAGCAGTAAAACTAATTTTCATTGGTGTGGCCTTTTTTCGCACGCTGGAACCTCCTCTGGTAATGATATCAAAAATTCATGATAAAATTGATTTGTTGACTGACAGCAGACTGGCAGAACAGCTGTACTGTAGCTACTGATCAGCTGGTCAGTCGTCAGAGATACAAAGGTATGGCTAGGTTAGACGTCTTCCTGTACTAGCCAAGACAGATACGAATTTGAACACGGATTTAAACACGTAGGTTCATAGTACTTACCTTTGTTTATTATGGCAGCTTGTCAGTGTTGGTACCACAATAATTTCTCAAAAGTGCAACAAGGAAGTTTTGGAAAGTTTTTGAACTGATAACATGTTTCCTGTTAATCTCGCTGACTTTTACAGAGGAGAAAGTCTCCAATGGGTATCTGAATTGAACTGCTATACAATAGATCTAGATAAGGAGGAGAATATCAGGAACATTCAAAATCACAAAAACAGGTATTAAAGGAGCACTTGACTTTTGATTGTACATGTTTACATGATGTACCATTTATCTACATAATAAACAGTTACCTGTGTGGCCGTCACCTGTAATTTATGATTAGTCTCTGCCGGTATCAAGTGCTCAACATGAAATGAAAACTCTACCTGTAAGTATATATACATCTGTGGTGCTGAATTACGTCTACCTGGTCCGAATGACCAATAGCTGACAACCACCAGCTCAAGTTGTACATGTGTGTTTCAACATTTCGATATTTACATTTCTCTCACGATGACAAATTTGCCAACGGTATGTTCTGTTTCTGGAAATGTCAAGTGATTTTCTTTGGGATTATTTGTGCATGGTGAGGTTTGGAGAAATACCTGTAGGTTTGGAGCTGTTGATTGGTACACCTGTACAGGTATTTGCCTTCGAGACTGGTGGCAGGATTAGAACACCTGTAGATTTGTGTGCGCTTCATTTCATCTTCTCTTCTGTGGTTTAAATTATGGATTCTGAGACCGTTCACCAGAAGAAATGCTCTTGATGATTTTTATTTAGTATGCAGTCTGGAATTATTTTCATTTTTAATCTCATTTGTGAATCGTATATGCTTTTAAACTTCTGATCACGGAAAGTGGCTCAAACTGTTAAACATTGACATACCCAGGAGGTTAGCTGAGGTTTCAGGAGCAATAAATTAATTTCCAAACATATTTTTCTACGCCAAAAGGGAAAGAGAACCAGTTTGAACAGCTCATTGGTATCACTTGTAATGTATCAAATATGTCGGGTGTAATTGATTGATATGTTAAATCTACATTTCTGCTCAGTTTGGCAGAAATGAGGTTTATTTGGGATCTGTAAAGGATATATATTGATTGGTTTCACGGTCCGAGTCCTGTTTGTGAAGAAATTCGGAGAAAATGAAGAATATTAAAGACAAAGGTAAATGCTTTGTATTAAATTTTAAATTGCGTGGTTGTGTTTCGTTTGTAAACAAAGAAGACATTTATAGCTGTGTTATGCTGATTTATCATGCATGTTTTAGGGAAGTGACAGATATATATATGTCACAGGTTTTTTGTGGGGGCCATTTAGGGGCCAAATATTGGCCCCCCTCTTCCAGTGGGAAATAGCACTATTTTTTCAAAAAATCTCTCCAAAATTTGCCAATAAAAAGAATGAATTTTAAACTTGTATGTAAAATGTTAATTCTATATCTAATAACTGAAATGAAATAATCTTTCAAAATTAATACAGATGTTTTAGTTTTTTATATGATGCCAAACAAATTAAAAAATAAATATTTCATATTATTCCGGATATTCCAAACTTAATGGTTTACTGATACAGTTTTCCCGATTCAAAAACCACTGGCTCCATTCCATAACTAGGGATAGAGCTATGGACATTTTATAATGTTGTTGGTGGATGTGAAATGTAAACAGATGCAGGATGTAATAAATTGGTCCTGATTTATTATAAGCAGTTGAAGTTGGTTGAAATTTAACTTTAATTCCTTGATATTATTTTCGTGATATTTTTTAGTGACGGTCAGTAAGATGTAAATCAAGAGTTCATTTTTGGTTTTTGATTGTATTGCTTCATCATGTAGTTGTATACTCGTTGCTTGACGTGATATTTTAGTATTAGCCAAAACATTGTCTGTATTGTCAACTATTACTATATATTGTAAATATTTATAAAGAAAAGCCCAGGATGCTGTGAAATTACCGTATCTGTTTTAATTGAAGTATTTGTTTAGGGATGGGCGATTATTGGAAACATAGATATGGAACAGTAGAATAATATTGATACTGTTTCAGGTTTCTACTCTGTATTAAAAACGGAAAAAGTGAAGGTGAAGTCATGATCTTTTGAGTGATTGATTCCAAGCTGTTACTATCTGATGGTAAACTAGGAGTAGTAAGCTTCATGAAGATGCTGATTAGAACAGAACATTCAGGAGAAATGTTATAAAATGTCTTGAACAATATATTTTTGTACAGTAAATTGATAACAAACAGGATGATGGAGACATGAGGCAAAATGTTTGGGAGAGTTTGGGTGTGCAATTATTTAAAGACTTTTGAAAATTCATAAAACAAATGAAAATTATTGTCTTAATTATCACCTTTTTACTACATTGATAAGGCATTGGTGATTATTGGAGTTTGGCAACAGTTCGAACCAGAGAATTACAAAGGGTTATTAAAATTGTACAGAGTTAACACATACCTGCCAACTCCGGTTATACTAAAAGAGGGTGATGACCCTCTTTTGAAAATAAAAAGAGGGTCATATAGCGCACGACGGCTTTTTTCGCAACAAATATAAAAAATAAAAAAATATTAAATTATAACTATAATATTTTAATGATGTGAAAGTTACATTCTACATTCATTGAACTGTTCTTCCAGCTGATCCTAATCCACAATACCGAATTCAAAGCTGAAAAAAAAAAAAGATTTGTCAACAACACAACTTATAAAATTAATTCATAATAATATAATGATGCTGTGTTTTCACAAGCTTTTTTTATGCGGGACTTTATACACTATAACTAATTTTCCTACGACATTTGATATGTGCACAATTATATTTTCTTTTACCATTTCGTGTAGTAGAACCTGAAAGTCCCGATAACGACTTCTTCCTTCAAGAAGACATAACGTTACCTTCAAAATACGATCTATTCTACATAAATGCTGGGCAATTTTTGAGACTGATTGGATAAACAACATGGCCGACAGGCAGCCATCTTGGATTTTGTTAGTGAAAGTTTGTTATCGCTATTTCTCAAGAAGTTTCAGAGGGATCTTTCTCAAATTTTATATGCAGGTTCCCCTTGGTCCTTNACAGAATAAAGGAAAGAAGAGAAAAGATCGAACTGACAAAGAACTAATGAAGATGGTACAAAGGTGGGCGCCAAGATCCCTCTGGGATCTCTTGTTATTTGTTGATCAAGAATTTTTTGCAGATATTTTGCGAAAAACACCTTTCCAAACCATACAATTCATATAGTTTCAGTCTTAAGATATTGCCATCTTGATTATTATATATATCTGTTGTTTCCATTATGACGTCATTATCTGGAAGTCTGGCATCATTTCATTATGATGATACAATATGTCATATGACATGAGTTAATACACAAAACGTGTGATGTGGGTGTATACTCTGTATAACATTATAACGACTTTCATATGGTTATAAATAGGATAGAAATATCCGAGGGAATAGAATTCGTCGTGACAAATAACGAGACTAGTGATGAGGTTTTTGAACCCGAATCATATTCCCAAGTGTTGCGCATTTACATATGATAGAGTCATCGTCTAACATTGCTCCCTGATTTATTTAATTGAAATGTGTAGTCGCCATCTTGTGGCTAAACGGCACCTTCTTTCGATTTGATATTTAAGCTTTACGAATGGAAAAAAAAGAGTGAATCCAAGTTTGGTTTATACTGAAAGTATAATCTTCACATTAGTTTGGTTTATACTAAAAGTATAATCTTTACATTAGTTTGGTTTATACTGAAAGTATAATCTTCACATTAGGAACAACACAACAATTAAATGTGGATACATTACCTCAAGTGAAAAAAATATATAAGCAAAATAAATAAAAATTACTTCAAACTAATGCCACAGCATGACGTCATCTCCTTGTCTTTACATTGTGACGTCATGCCGTCGTAAGATAGATTTACCTGCCAATTATATTTCTCAGGTACTGATTTAGAAATGTACTACAGGTAATTCTGTTCAAAAATGACGCTTCTCTCAATTGGTCCAGTCAGAAATAAGAATCTGTCCTTAATTAACATTTGATTAATTGGGGTGTTTACATCTCAAACTTTAACCGGTAGTCAGAAATGAAATTTGAAGTGCTTGAACATCCACTGTTAGTTGTTCTGAAGTGACGTTGACATAGGACCACCCAAGCCTTGAAATATTCATGTAATATGTAATGGAGTCGTTTGTAAGGTGAGATTTTCCCCTTGTAAATACATAACAGAAAAAGTTTATTGAATCATGAACTACTTATAACCTCAATATACTCTCCGTATTTTGAAATCTGAATTTACAGTAGCCCTGTGAACGTATATCTCTCTAAATTATCCCAAAATGACAGAGATTCAGTGAACATTCTATAGAATTCAAGCTTTTGATGTTTCCTGTACGTGTAAAAGAGAAGGTGAAATAAGAAAGGATTATCACAAGGAGAACGGGTATTACATATTCTGTAGAGTTTATTGATATTATTGAGGATATATACCGTGAGTATGGTTAAACGGTCACCAGACTGTATCAAAGCAATAAAACTTACAATATTCATTAACTTCAGTCGGGGAAATTATGTACGGCTGCATGTATTTCATATCTTTTTCCCACCCCACCCCTCTTTGGAAATGACTTTTCACTACAAAAATCACTTGAAAATGTGTTTTGATGAAATAAATTCTTTTTAATTTTCGTAAATTTTAGTTGTCCTTCCCTTCTGTGTTTTATTTTTCTTTCTCTCAATTTCTATTAAATATTTTCCTTGATTTCTAAATGCACTGGCTTTAACTCATTCACCCCTGAAGATACATTTGAACTCCTCCAACTCAAAGGTTGGAATAGTTCATTATGAAATTTCAGGGGTGAATGAGTTTACATACATAACTGTTATTCTATTTTGTCTTTATGTATATGCGGCCTTGAAGTTTAAATAAGATTGAAAGCTGAGGGTGTGATACTGGTTTTAATGCTAGACAAGGTCTTCACATCAGTGCACATGTATAGACTATTGAGATCAATATATCAAGCGCTTATCAAGAGACCCTGATAGGGGTTATGACCTCTGAAAGGTCGTGACCTCTGCTGTAGGATATACATATATCTAACTTAATGAGAATATTTTGCTATGACTGCTTAAATATTCAGGTGAGCGATACAGGCCCTCTTGGGCCTCTTGTTGTCTGTGTATTTGTACACAAGGTAAAACCAAGCTATCAATACTTGTTGTCTGTGTATTTGTACATGAGGTAAAACCAAGCTATCAATACTTGTTGTCTGTGTATTTGTACACGAGGTAAAACCAAGCTAACAATACTTGTTGCCTGTGTATTTGTACACAAGGTAAAACCAAGCTATCAATACTTGTTGTCTGTGTATTTGTAGACAAGGTAAAACCAAGCTATCAATACTTGTTGTCTGTGTATTTGTACACAAGGTAAAACCAAGCTAACAATACTTGTTGTCTGTGTATTTGTACACTGTCTGTGTATTTGTACACAAGGTAAAACCAAGCTAACAATACTTGTTGTCTGTGTATTTGTACATGAGGTAAAACCAAGCTACACGAGGTAAAACCAAGCTAACAATACTTGTTGTCTGTGTATTTGTACACAAGGTAAAACTAATCTATCAATACTTGTTGTTTGTGTATTTGTACACAAGGTAAAACCAAGCTAACAATACTTGTTGTCTGCGTATTTGTACACAAGGTAAAAGCAAGCTAACAATACTTGTTGTATGTGTATTTGTACACAAGGTAAAGCCAAGCTAACAATTCTTGTTGTCTGTGTATTTGTACACAAGGTAAAACCAAGCTAACAATACTTGTCTGTATTTGTATACGAGGTAAAACCAAGCTAACAATACTTGTGGTCTGTGTATTTGTACACGAGGTAAAACCAAGCTAACAATACTTGTTGTCTGTGTATTTGTACACAAGGTTAAACCAAGCTAACAATACTTGTTTTCTGTGTATTTGTACACAAGGTAAAACCAATCTAACAATACTTGTTGTCTGTGTATTTGTAAACGAGGTAAAACCAAGCTAACAATACTTGTTGTCTGTGTATTTGTCCACAAGGTAAAACCAAGCTAACAATACTTGTTGTCTTTGTATTTGTAGCTAACAATGCTTAAATGCCTATATACTATAGATAATTATGTTAGGGCCCAAGGTATACTAGACAATCATGTGACTTTGTTAGCTTTTGATGTAATTAACAGGTACTAATGAAGATGATAAGTATCTACATGTCACAACAGGTAACCACTTGTAAGGACAGGTAACTAATGGTAATGACAGGTAACTACTGGTAAGGACATGTCACGACAGGTAACCACTGGTAATGACAGGTAACTACTGGTAAGGACAGGTAACCACTGGTAGCGATAGGTAACTACTGGTAAGGACATGTCACAACAGGTAACCACTTGTAACGACAGGTAACTACTGGTAATGACAGGTAACTACTGGTAAGGACAGGTAATGACAGGTAACCACTGGTAATGACAGGTAACTACTGGTAAGGACAGGTAATGACAGGTAACCACTGGTAATGACAGGTAACTACTGGTACGGACATGTCATGACAGGTAACTACTGGTAATGACAGGTAACTACTGGTAATGACATGGAACTACAGGTAATGACAGGTAACTACTGGTAATGACAGGTAACTACTTGTAATGACAGGTAATTACTGGTAATGTCAGGTAACTACTGGTAACGACAGGTAACTACTGGTAATGACAGGTAACTACTGGTAAGGACATGTCACGACAGGTAACCACTGGTAATGACAGGTAACTACTGGTAAGGACAGGTAACTACTGGTAAGGACAGGTAACTACTGGTAAGGACAGGTAACCACTGGTAGCGATAGGTAACTACTGGTAAGGACATGTCACAACAGGTAACCACTTGTAACGACAGGTAACTACTGGTAATGACAGGTAACTACTGGTAAGGACATGTCACGACAGGTAACCACTTGTAAGGACAGGTAACTACTTGTAATGACAGGTAACTACTAATAAGGACATGTCACGACAGGTAACCATTGGTAATGACAGGTAACTACTGGTAAGGACAGGTAACCACTGGTAGCGATAGGTAACTACTGGTAAGGACATGTCACAACAGGTAACCACTTGTAACGACAGGTAACTACTGGTAATGACAGGTAACTACTGGTAAGGACAGGTAATGACAGGTAACCACTGGTAATGACAGGTAACTACTGGTAAGGACATGTCATGACAGGTAACCACTTGTCATGACAGGTAACTACTTGTAAGGACAGGTAACCACTGGTAATGACAGGTAACTACTGGTAAGGACATGTCACGACAGGTAACCACTGGTAACGACAGGTAACTACTGGTAATGACAGGTAGCTACTGGTAATGAAAGGTAACTACTGGTAATGACAGGTAACTACTGGTTACGACAGGAAACTACTGGTAATGACAGGTAACTACTGGTAACGACAGGTAACTACTGGTAATGACAGGTAACTACAGGTAACGACAGGTAACTACTGGTAACTACTGGTAATGATAGGTAACTACTGGTAATGACAGGTAACTACTGGTAATGACAGGTTACTACAGGTAACGACAGGTAACTACTGGTAAGGACAGGTAACTACTGGTAATGACAGGTAATTACTGGTAATGACAGGTAACTACAGGTAACTACAGGTAATGACAGGTAACTACAGGTAACGACAGGTAACTACAGGTAACGACAGGTAACTACTGGTAATGACAGGTAACTACTGGTAATGACAGGTAACTACTGGTAATGACAGGTAACTACTGGTAACGACAGGTAACTACTGGTAATGACAGGTAACTACTGGTAATGACAGGTAACTACTGGTAATGACAGGTAACTACTGGTAATGACAGGTAACTACTGGTATTGACAGGTAACTACAGGTCAAGACAGGTAACTACTGGTAATGACAGGTAATGACAGGTAACTACTGGTAACGACAGGTAACTACTGATAACGACAGGTTGAAATCAGCTACTAACAATGGAGTACACTAGCTATCAATTATTAGCTCACCTGGCACGAAGTGCCAAGTGAGCTTATGCCGTGGCGCGGCGTCCGTCGTCCGTCCATCGTCCGTCCGTCGTCCGGCGTCAATATTTTACTTTAAACGACTTCTTCTTAATAACCGAAAGGCCTAGGGTGTCAATATTTGGCCAGAAGCAAACTTGGATGAAGGGCTACAAAGTTTGTTCAAATAAATGACCTTCACCTATTTTCAAGGTCACAGGGGTCAAATATGTCAAAAACTTTAAACATCTTCTTCTCAATAACCAAAATGCCCAGGGAGATGATATTTGGCCAGTAGCATGCTTGGGTGAAGGGCTACCAAGTTTGTTCAAATGAATGACCTTCAATTATATTCAAGGTCACAGGGGTCAATTGTATTAAAAAACCTTTAAACAACTTCTTCTGAATAACCAAAATGCTCAGGGTGATGATATTTAGCCAGTAGCATGCTGAGATGAAGTGCTACAAAGTTTGTTCAAATGAATGACCTTCACCCATATTCAAGGTCACAGGG